ATTTCAGACAGGAGACTCCCAGCCCTGCCTTGAGATATTGGGGGACTGAACCTGGGACCTTCTGTTTGCGGTGCTCTACCACTAAGCTGTGCTGCTTTCCTGAGTGTTTGCTGCTACTCAAGAAAAGCACTGAAGAGTCTCCTGGATGGTTTTTGTGAGCTGGCCTGACCACGCCACACCTGTCTGTGCTGCATTGTGGTGGTTTAGTTGTCAGGGCACAGCAAAGGAGGACCATGGGAAGTATTCCAAGTCTCAGCATCGTTTCATCTAGCTCAGAGTTGTCTCCAACAGAGGTGTAGCCCAAGGGCAGCAATCCCTCCTGAGAAACCTTCCAAGAGGCACATGCCGGTGGTGGTCTCAGGAGCGGGTGCCGGGAACAGGTCAGCAATAAATCACATGGAGTAAGTTCAGTTAACTCTTTATCAGAGAAAACAAGGCTGCTCAATAGTGCTAGGTCTAATGAGCAACTCTTCCCAGTAGATCTTGCCCATATGAGGCAGTTGTGGGGAATGAAGGTCCCCACCTTCCCACAGCTGCCTAAGCCTCCTTCTCCTCTGTTACTCCTCTGTTGGGTTATTCCCAAGCAATCTGAGATTCTGCTGGTGTGCCTGTCTCTGCCCTTCCCTCTTCATACCTCTTCTGGTTCTAGGAGACCAGCGGATAGGGGAGCTTATCACAGCAGGAGGGGGAGGCACCCTGGCTTCTTCACCAGGCTGACTCATCTCTGACTCTTGGCCTCCTCTCCTGCTTCTGTATTTGATTCTGGACTTCTCTCTAACACAGCCTCTCCCTGCTCACTAAGCCCTGTTACCTCTTCAGCTTCTGACACCTCATCCTTCCATCCTTCTCCCTCTCACCACCAATCATTGTCCCACCACCAATCCCTGGGATCTGAGCCTTCTTCCCTTGGTGGTTCCCCAGATGGTGCCTCCTACCATTCATTCCTCTGTGTCCAGCCAGTCCATGACCGGTAGGTGGGGTTGGTGTCAAAGGTGAGCGGAGCAGCACATGTAAAGCTGACCTTTGCATGGTGGGCTAGTTTCTGCACAAGCACACACCTCTCCCTACCCAAACTCAATCCACAAGCTGCTCACTCCTTGTATACACTGACTGGCAGGAGCTCTCTGCAGTTACAGGCAGGGATGTTTCCCAGTTACCAGGACTTGCAGCGGGGTGTGTGTATGTGTGTGTGAATAAGGTAAAGGGACCCCTGACCATTAGGTCTAGTCGTGGCCGACTCTGGGGTTGCGGCGCTCATCTCGCTTTATTGGCCGAGGGAGCCGGTGTACAGCTTCCGGGTCATGTGGCCAGCACGACTAAGCCGCTTCTAGCGAACCAGAGCAGCGCACGGAAACACCGTTGACCTTCCCACCAGAGCGGTACCTATTTATCTACTTGCACTTTGACATGCTTTTGAACTGCTAGGTTGGCAGGAGCAGGGACCGAGCAACGGGAGCTCACCTCGTCACAGGGATTAGAACCGCCGACCTTCTGATCGGTAAATCCTAGGCTCTGTGGTTTAACCCACAGCACCACCCGCGTCCCTGTGTGTGTGAATACCTGGGCCTTTTAAGCTGGAAAGTGCCTTCTCTAAGCCACAGAGGACTCATTGACATGTCTACTTGTCCGATGCCTAGAAAGCTTGGCTCAGAGTGGTTTTCTGCTTGCCCCATGCTTTCTAAGCACAGGTCCAAGCAGTTTTTCCTTTGCCCCACTTCTTTCCCTGGAAAGCCCACTCTTCAGTGCTAAATCAGTACAAATATCTATCCTCAGAATACCCAACTGCTGTTTGTTCCAATTCAGTGCTAAATTGCAGGTTTCCCCAGGGGACAGTGGCAGGGCGAACAGAGGGGTGAATCAGCCCTGAGTGTCATCTTTGCCACAGGCTCAGCCTAGCCTGTAATATCCTGTAGGACTGGCCTGGCTTAAAGCAGCACAGCATGAACATGACTATTATTCGTATCAATGTTCCATTTGCAGCAGCAGCAGCAGCAGCAGCTCCTCTGACAATAGCTAATGAGGTGTTAAGATAAACATCTCTCAGCACTGTTCCCGAAAACCCTTTGCTCCACTGGAGAGTCACATTGAAACACAAAGCAAATGAACTTTGGCCAAAACAAAAAACAAAAAACAAAAAAACCCCATCACATTATGAATGAAGCAAAGCAAGAACATCTTTGATTTGGACTTTACGCATACATTCTCCCAGTCCTTCCAGAAGAGAACAAACCCGGAGCTTGCTGTACTTTTCTAAGTGCATATGGCGCCCCCTGCTGTCTGCATCACATTTGCAAATGTGGAGACATGAACCGAAATAAAGGGGGAACAGAGGAAGGTGTCTTATACTGAGACTATTGGTCCATCCCGCTCAGTATGGTCTGCACTGACTGACAGTGGCTCTCCAAGTTTCCTGACATGGGAATTTCCCATCCCTAACTGGGGATGCAGGGGATCCATGCTCTTCCACTAAGCCATGACCAGCACTATTTTTCTAAAAAGAGAGAGAGAGAGAGAGAGAGAGAGAGAGAGAGAGAGAGAGAGAGGTGCTGGAAACTCACCATGAACACCTCCCTCGTTCTATTAGAATGACAATGGCGCCCATTTGAGAGGTGCTGGAACTGAGTTCTGGTGAGTTCTGGCTGGGAAAAACCAACTTTTGGCTATTGACCCTTCCAGGGTCAATATGTGTGGATAGGAAGAAGTTCAGATAAAAGAAAGGACTTTCTTCACATAACACACAGGTAGACTATAAAATGGGAGATGTAGAGATGGCCACAAATGTGGACAGTATTCAGAAAGGCTTAGATAAATCTATGGTGGATGAAGCTGTCAATGGCTACCAGTCATGATAACTGAATTTCTTCCAACGTCAGAGGCAGTATGTCTCAGAATTCCAGTTTCTGGAGAAGATAAGTAGCAGAGGGCTATTTCATACCCTCCAACGCTTCTCTCGTGGAAATAGGGACGTCCCATTTCATAATGATAATTTTACTACTTACACCCCACACATCTTACTGGGCTGCCCCAGCCACTCTGGGCAGCTTCCAACATATAAAAACTCAATAAAGCATTGAAGGTTAAAAAAAAACCACACACAACCCCTTCCTTATACAGGATTGCGTTCAGACGGTTCGTGGGTCAGATAACTCCATACCCTCCAACATTTCTCCAGTGAAAATAGGGACATCCTAAGGAAAAGTGGGACATTCCAGGATCAAATCAGAAACTGGGACGGCTTCTCTAAATCAGGGACGTTGCTGGAAAATAGGGACACTTGGGGGGTCTGCTATTTCACATGTCCTACTTGTGGCCTGTGCAGTGATGTCTGGTTGGCTACTGTGAGAAAGAGGCTGCTGGACTAGGTAGCCTCTGGCCTGATCCAGAAGGGTTCTACTTAGGAAATTGTTCCTTTCTTTTTATACATTTTTATTAATTTTTTAACATATCAGTTCCAACAGTCATACAACATAACTTCTCATCTTATACAATGCTTTAGACTTCCGTCAACACCTCTGATGATTTTCCGTTCTTTATCACTTATTCTGCATTTCTTAATTTCTGTATTACATTTAATTGTCCTTAACTAATAATTCTCTTCATAGTCTTTCTTGCAATATTTCAAATAATCCACCTTACAAAACTTCTTGCAGTCCTACTAGCGTAATCTGTTCCTCAGATTACTTTTCAAATAGTTCATATATTTACTCCAGTCTTCTAAGAATCTCTGATCCCACAGGTTTCGCATCCTTCCTGTTAATTTGTCTAATTCTGTGTAGTCCATCAACTTCATCCTCCATTCTTCTTTTGTCAGTAGTTCTTCTTGCTTCCATTTTTGTGCCAATAATATTCTTGCTGCTGTCTACTTAGGAAATTGTTTCAATCAGAAATTATTTTGTGGTCTGGTGTTTTTGTTTCTTTGTTTTGTTTTAGCCCAAGGTGTTATCTGCCCAAAGGTGGAATCCAGTACCAGAAACTTGACATCCGTATCCACACCTGGGCAGCCCACAGCCCCCTCTGGATTGCTTTTGAAATGTTGTAAAGCCTTTCATGGACTCAGTGCCTGTAATTTCTAAGCTGCAATGAGAAAGAGGGCTTCTCCCACACACAGTTGTTGCTAGGAGCTCAAAAGCTGTGGAATGCCATGTTGAGACAACCTCTAAGACTTGTCACGGTACCCTTTAAGGGGAATATTGACTCCTTCGGGGGTCTTGAAAATCACACCAGCCTCCGGGGAGAAGAGCTGTGTTCTGGAATTTGCATCTGCAGTCGCCATCTGCCTATGTTGGGAAGAAGACAGTGGTCTGGTTCTCACTGAGATGGTAATTAAACCTGTTTCTGATCCTTATTCCTTCAAAATGCAGGTTACAGTTAATGTTTATTATCTTTAAATCCTGCTTGAAGACTTCCTATGGACATTTAGTTTATTTATATTTATGTACATTTATATTTATGTGCACACTGCCAGCTCATATAAAATATCAAGGAGGGCACAACAATGTATACAATAAAACATCAAGCACCATCAAGCAATACAAAATGATCACTGAAATGACTGTTAAATGAAGAAAGATTAAACAGCTACATGGATCTGTCGGTCTACTAAGATCTGTGACTGTGTCTAGTAAGATGGCCACTACTGAGCACCACATTTTAAGAAGGATACAGTGGTACCTCGGGTTAAGAACTTAATTCATTCTGGGGGTCCGTTCTTAACCTGAAACTGTTCTTAACCTGAGGTACCACTTTAGCTAATGGGGCCTCCTGCTGCCGTTGCACAATTTCTGTTCTCATCCTGAAGCAAAGTTCTTAACCCGAGGTACTATTTCTGGGTTAGCGGAGTCTGTAACCTGAAGCATCTGTAACCTGAAGCGTCTGTAACCCGAGGTACCACTGTATTGACTTGCAGAGGAATGCATGCAGAGGACCATCTATCTGAGTATTATCTGCACTGACTGTCAGTGGCTCTGCAAGGTTTCAGATAGGAGTTTCTCCATCCTACCTGGAGAGGCCAGGGATTGAACCTGTGACTTTATGCATGCAAAGCAGATGCTCTACCAATGAGCTATAGTTTTTCCCCTATCTCCCGTACTTCACCTCTGTCTTGGGCCAGAACGTTGACACATATAAAATTCAGTAGCACAAGTTTATGGATCTTGCAATGCAAATATGATTCCACAAATGCCACCCCCCACCCATGATTGAATCAAGAAAAGAAGCTCCTTTACTCCTTTGAAGCAAAAGCAGACCCTCCAAGTATCCCTATTTTCCAGGGACGTGCCTGATTTAGAGAAGCCATCCCAGTTTCTGATTTGATCCACAAATGTCCCACTTTTCCTTATGGCATTCCCCTTTTTTCATTGGAGAAATGTTGGACAGTGTGGAGTTATCCAAACCCCAAGCCATATGAAGGCAATCCTGTATAGGGAAGTTTTTTTTAACATTTAATGTTTTATTATGTTTTTATATATGTTGGAAGCTGCCCAGAGTGGCAACCCAGTCAGGTGGGTCGGGTATAAATTGTTGTTGTTGTTGTTGAATAGGGCATCCCTTTTTTTCATCAGAGAAATATTGGAGGGTATGTGAAAGCAACACAGAGTCTTGTGTTACCTTAACAACGTGTATATGTATATGGGCAATTCCTTGGCCTTCAAGATGCTACAAGACTCTTTGTGTGATATTCAGTGATTGCTGAACTATTACCTTTTGCTGCACGGCAGAGGGCCCTGTGCTACAATGAGCGATAAGGATGATAGCTTAGTAATCCTCTAAGTACTTGCCAATGAGAGCATGTGCTAGGGTATGAATGAGAAAGACTTGTGCATTTTTGTGTTTAGCCATATATGAAAAATGAGATCTTTCTTGCACTTTTTAAAATAGAAAAATGGGGCCACTCAACATTTTCACCTTTGTTTGTGTGAAACTGGCATATATGCAATCTGACAGCGAGATCATGTGACATCAGTTTAGAATATTGGTACCACATGGGCACTTATGTGATTTCTGATTTGCTATCTTGGCCTACGTGACTTTGCCAAGCAACATCACATATCTGTGGTGCCTGGCCCTGCAAGGCTACTGTTATGGTTCAATTTCCCTCCGTCTGAAGGAGTGAAGCCGAATCACATGCCTGAACCGAGTGTGTGCACAGACCATAAGATTTGATTTGGACCCTGCTTTGGTGCTTTAGAAAAGAATGAGAATCAGTCCAAAGTACTTCAGCTAGGGGTTCAAATCCACATCCTGATTTGGAAAAACAAAACTTCTTGCCTATCCTGTTCACTATCATGGATTGTTATAGCTATTGTCAGTGCTTTTTTTCTGGGGGGTCTCAGGGTACACATACCCCTAAACATTTTGTGAATCTAAGTTGGCGTCATTGAGGGGCAGTATTTCAATATGAGTAGGAGAATGAGATTGCCCCTAAACATTTTTTAAAAGATAAAAATCACTAGTTATTGTTATTTAAATGGCTATAACATTGTTTTCTTTTTGGCAGAACTGGATGAAATTTGCAAACATATTCACCCCTCCATAGTGGATAGGGTCTGCCAAATTAGAGACAAAATGGTTCATATGTTCTTTTGTTGGCCATTTTTACATTTTGATTCTTCCCCCAAAATGAAGCAATCTACAACTTTTAAATTTCTTTTTATTGAGCAGAAGTTTGTGAAATTTGCAGGCAAGGTATTCCCTTCTGATGGGATAAACCCTGTCAATTTTTAGGAGGACAGCTACAGTGGTTTTCTTCTAATGACAGGATTTACTGGTTTGGAAGGACTGAAAAGGATTTCCTTATTCTCTCCTAGCATTTTGTGGACAATTGATGGTAAAGCAGCATATGTGGGAGAGGTGACCTTGGACAAGGGTTGTTATTTTGTTTGTTTGTTTGTTTTGGCGAGGCACGATTCGTTTCTATCCCTCTGGTTTTGCAGAAAAATAGGACAATAGAAAAATTTGCACCATAGAAAGTGTGACGTTAACATATGAGAGTGCTGGAGGTGAAATAGTTAAACAGGTTACCCAATCAGAACCCCGGGGGGTGGAGTCAGAGGGACTATAAAACCAGCTCTGGGAGGGGCAAAGAGAGGAGTTCGTTGGGAGTTGGGTGGTGTGGGAGTGAATTGGGATAGAGTCTGTGGGTAGGTTGAGTTAGTGTAGCAAGATAAGCTGAGTCAGGAACAGTTAGGAGCTAGGGAGACAAGTAAATATCTGAGAGGTGGTATAGTGAGTGAGAGCAGGTAGTGGAAGTTATAGGTCTGGAAAGGTACCCCATGATTGTAATTGACTGATACTGTTTATGAAACCACATGCTTGACTGCAATGAATAAACAGAAGTTTATGTTCCAATTTAACCCTGACTGGACTCAGTAGTGTACCAGGTAGGGCCTGGGTGGGGGCAGCGAGAAAAAAAGTGGTGGCACAGGGATCAATAGACAGTGAAATGTCCGGGGACCCTGCGTGATCGCCACAGTAGTGTGCAAAATTTCAGGAGGGTGGGTGCAAGGGCTAGGGCATTGTGATGAATGGGGGAAATAAACAGCTTCAGGCTGGTTCTCTGCACTCAAAGTCACAGAAAAAAAGTGCAAAGCTGATTTGACAGGAGTGGAAGCGTGGGCATGCAACACAGAGGAAGGACGACTTCCAGGCAAACACCACAAGCAGAACGAGAAAAGAGCACGGAACAGACAAAAGCAAGGTGATACATTATTTCAGTTTCCCTCCTCCAAAGCATTGCAATTTGAGAGACATGGTCCAATAATTTCCTTTGATTAAAAGTGAAACCTGTCAGTTACAAAAAAGTTCCCCATTCCCACACACCCCAGCCTGGCATTTTCCTGATTTGGCAAGCTGGGGGAGAAAGGTTTCAACTTTTGTAAACAATGTTGTCTGCCGCATTTTTCTTTAATCCAAATGTCCAAAGCACTTTGATGCTCTCCATTTTGACAAAAGGCGTTTTGGACAGAGCCCGCTTTAACTTGGGCAAACCTCAGGTCTGTCTGAAGGAGCCCTCTTAAGTGTGAATGAGGAAAGTTTGCTTTCCAAATATCAGTTGCATTGAATTTATTGTCCATCCCTATTCACTTTCCTATGACCTTAAAGGTAAAGGGTAAAGGGACCCCTGACCATTAGGTCCAGTCACGGACGACTCTGGGGTTGCAGCACTCATCTCGCTTTACTGGCCAAGGGAGCCGGCGTACAGCTTCTGGGTCATGTGGCCAGCATGACTAAGCCGCTTCTGGCGAACCAGAGCAGTGCACGGAAATGCCGTTTACCTTCCCGCTGGAGTGGTACCTATTTATCTACTTGCACTTTGACATGCTTTTGAACTGCTAGGTTGGCAGGAGCAGGGACCGAGCAACAGGAGCTCACCCTGTTGCGGGGATTCGAACCACCGACCTTCTGATCGGCAAGCCCAAGAGGCTCAATGGTTTAGACAACAGCGCCACCCGCGTCCCTCCTTCTATAACCTTATGCTTTAATAAATAAATAATATATAAAATAGAACGTATTAGACATTCATCATAGTCACCCACCCCTTCTCTTACTGCTGGCAGCTTTGCCTGTCACTTTTCACAAAGGTTTTAGTGCTACAGCATCAGCTCCCGGCACCAAGCAGCTGGTGATAAACATTACCGGAGGTGGGAATTTGAGTCAGACAAACAGAGAACAAAATGATCCTTGCCGTGTGGGGGAATAGTGCAAACATCTTCCCACAGGCAGGTGAAATGGAAGAGGGAGGGTCCATTTCTGGGGAGAAGAACTGAAGAGGCTACCTCCTTGCATCAGCTTTGAACTTCTGCAAAACCACCTCTTGCCTGGGTGGCAGCTCAGAAGGTCGCAGCCAAGGAACACTTAGAGGCGGCTAATAGGGCAGAAGGCAGGGAGCCCGATCAGCTGTGGAGCCAGAGCTAATGAGGTGCAAAGCCAGCTAATTCTACTTTTTGCCCATCCTCTTCCTTTCTATGGAAGTTCTATGAGGTGTTCTGTGAGGTGGAGACTCAGGTTGGTGAGGCAGTGTCCCATTTGCTCTAATGGACCGGCACCATGGACAGCCATTCCTGAGGAAAGTGTGGCCACCAACCATTTAAGCTAGGAGTCAGCAACCTTTTTCAGCCATGGGCTGGTCCACCGTCCCCCAGACCATGTGGTGGGCCGGACTATATATTTTTTTTGGGGGGGGGGGGGATGAACGAATTCCTATGCCCCACAAATAACCCAGAGATGCATTTTAAATACAGTGGTGCCTCGCAAGACAAAATTAATCCGTTCCGTGAGTCTCTTCGTCTTGCGGTTTTTTCGTCTTGCGAAGCACGGCTATTAGCGGCTTAGCGGCTATTAACGGCTTAGTGGCTTATGTATTTGGATGGCATGCATATCTGTGGTATGATAAGGTCAAAGCACATAAAGCATTTAAAAACTATATTGTCAGGAAAGTATTGTTTAATGTTTGGATAAGATACAAGGACTTATTGGAAAACAAAACCCCAAGGTGGCTGTCACTGATGGAAGCGAAAGCTCTGGAAAAGCTCAATATGGAGGTCAAATGGCCGAAATATTGGGAAATTTTGGAACAAGATGGAGATAGACTGAAATTGCAGAGTTTTGAGAAATTAAAAAACAAAGTGCGAGATTGGCTTCATTATTATCAGATAATGGAGGCATATAATTTGGACAAGAAAATTGGCTTCCAGGTGGAAAATTCAAAATTGGAAACACAACTGTTAGAACCCAAAACAAAGAATTTGTCAAGAATGTATAACTTGCTGTTGAAATGGAATACTCAAGATGAAACAGTGAAATCTGCTATGATTAAATGGGCACAAGATGTTGGACATAACATAATGATGGCTGACTGGGAACAGTTATGGACCACTGGTATGAAGTTTCCGGCATGTAATGCCTTAAGAGAGAATATTATGAAAATGATATACAGGTGGTACATGACACCAGTCAAGCTTGCAAAAATCTATCACTTGCCTGATAATAAATGTTGGAAATGTAAAGAAACCGAAGGTACATTCTTTCACCTTTGGTGGACGTGCCCAAGGATTAAGGCTTTCTGGGAGATGATTTATAATGAAAT